AGTGACCAGTTTGAGATGACTGATCTTGGTGAGCTCAAGTATTTTCTCGGTATGGATAATGGTCAAAATAAGGTAGCCGGTCAAGTCACGTTGCGGCAAACCAAGTTCCTTAAGTCAGTCCTGAGCAAGTTTGGTATGCAAGATAGCAAGCCCGTCAAGACGCCTCAAGATACAGGACTCAAGTTAACGAAGAATATGTGCTTAGGAGGATGCCGGCATGAAGAAACAATGAAGAATGTGCCGTACCGAAATTGTGTTGGAGGCATAATGTATTTTATGGTTGCGACGCGCCCAGATCTTGCTGCGGCAGTGGGATTTCTAAGCCAATTTGCCGCCGATCCGTGTCCGACGCATTGGCAAGCTCTCAAGCGCGTTCTGCGATATCTAAAAGCAACGCAAACGTTTGGACTTCAGTATTCTAGTTGCGGTCAAGCAAAGCTACTTGGGAATCGGATGTAGACTGGGCTGGAGATATCGAGTCTCGCCGGAGTACAAGCGGCTATGTGCTCACACTAAACAATGGGTGTATTAGCTGGCGAAGTAAAAAGCAGCGAAGTGTGGCAATTTCCTCAACAGAGGCGGAGTATATGGCTCTATCAGAGGCCATTCAAGAAGCGGTATGGCTCAAGGTATTTTTGTGCGGGCTTGGTGAGATGACCCTTAATGAGCCTGTCAAGATATTCGAAGATAATCAAGGCTCAATTGCGTTGATCAAGAATTTTATAAGCGCACAAAACATATCGATATTCGCTATCACTTTGTACGAGTAAAAAATTGAAGATGGCCAAGTCAATCTCGAATACTGCCCCACACAAGACATGCTAGCGATATCATGACAAAGCCAATTGTGTCAGTGCAATACGAGTTTCTGCGCATCAAGCTTGGGATACGAGGCGTTGCAGCTGTCGAGTCGAGTGGGAGCGTTGTTCAAGATGCGCCTCGCCGTGCAGACTAGTGGCGCAGAGGAAGCGTTTTGTCGAGCAGCCGCCAATCGGTAGATATCGATATTACCGGTGTGGACAGGCTGATTGCGCAAGTTGCGGTTTCGTGGGTGAGCCAAGTATCCAGTGAAGGATCCAGCAAGGGTACTATCCACAGGCGCATAAAAGGTACATATATCCAGTAAAGAACCCAGTAGAATATTTGATAAAATATTCTAGATAGGCTTAGAGGTAGCACAGCGAACTAAGGACCTTAACATATTCACTTTGCATTTTGCCATCCAGTGCTTAAGCTACCTAAATCCAATACTAAACTTGATTGTGGATGCTTCGACGAAGGAGTAAATTCTGCAAAATCTCCTACGCTTGAGCAGTCGATTGTGCAGTCCGAATTATTGATTGTAAGCTTTGACTGGCCATCTTCGGCAAAATCGCGAAGGCCTTCAAATCGTTGGTTTTCTATCCTGACGCCGCAGCATCATCTTCACTCCGGATCTTCATAGTGTCTATGTGTTCAAGAAGCCCCTTCTTCGCAAGCTTCATTCGAGCGTTGAACTCCCACATGAACTAATTATCTTCACGATGTATGCCGTTGGCTTCGATCGTTTTTGGGCTATAACGTTTTAAAGTTGATGCGCAGACTAAGGAAGAGACTTGTGTCGGAGAGAGAAAAAATGGAAAGTGGAGTCAGATCCTTACTTCGTTGCCTACTCTGAGTTTGATTACAAACTGGATATTACCTGACGACAGTCTGGCTTCAAGCTGGCTGATGGAAATCTATCCACAAGCCTCCAGACATATGGTGTCTGGCTAGCACCCTCTAGTTGTCTTCCACACAGTTCTGGGTAAGAGACACGTCCACTTGTACTACGCATTAGACGCTTGCGTTTCCACTGATTGATTATCATCAACTAGAACTACCTCAAAGAGCAATTCTAAATGCCGTAATCAATAAATCAATAGATCAGTGTGATAGTACTCCGAAATGGTCATAAAATCAAGCTATATCGGTATATGTCAAATTTAAACCTGACATGTATCTTCCTTGTAGTATGTTGCCATTTTGGTCTGTCAATCCGCCAGTCTGCGTTCCTTAAAGATTTTCTCGAAAAGAAGTGCTCATTGATCCACCCCAGGTATCGAAACAAAGTCAGGTCAAGTCTTTAAACTGAATCAAATCTTATATGAATTGAAACCAGCTGCAGCGACCTGGCTTAAGACAATCTCAAGCTTGATACGGGCTTTACGGCATGTGTTTAGACTCTTGCATATTTGTTTGTCAAGATTGAAAATTATGGATGTACGTGACTCAGTACGTTGATGACATACTCATTGGAGCAAATTATGTGGACCTGATCAAGACTGTTTCGGATGTACTATATCTTCAACATCATATACTAGTTTTCACTGCTTTGAGAATTATTAAGAAGTATTCCTGGCCGGGAGAGCAGGAGAACACACTGCGCACACGAAATGAGTTTGGTATCATTAATTCTGCTTCGATGGTGTCTCCATTCAATTCAAACTCAAGATATTGGGAAACATACACGTTATTCATGGCATAGAAGCTGGGTACAATGGAAAAACATCCTAACCGATCTCTTGCCGGATCACTTCTATATGTGGCGAGTGGAACAAGACCCGACATTGCATTCGCGTTATGCCAGCTTAGTCGGTATCTAAAACTCCCAAGTGCGGTGATCCGTGTACTGTGTTACATCAAGTCAACTGCGATGAAAGGAATCTGCTATCAAGGTCTTTCCGGAAGACTCGAACAAAGTGCATACACGGATATCCAATAGGTTTGTCACAAGAACAACCGCCGGTCGACACCAAGCATCATGGTCATGATCACCAAGTCCCCCAGTGCTATTCGAGCCAGAACTACAATAAAGTTTGGCACTGAGCACTGCTGGAGCCGGATACGTGGCTCTATCATTATACATCCAAGAAGCGTTTCGTTATTGTCCGAAATGAAGATAATGAACGACTATCCAGTCGTTGTGCACGAAGACAACCATTGTGCAATCGCTATGGCCAAAAATGATGGATATCAGAGTCGACTCAAGCTCATCAATTTCGGTATCACTTCGTCTGTGACAAACTCAAGGCAAAGTCGATCGACCTACGATTCATTGAATCCAAGCACCAACTCGCCGATATCTTGACCAAGCCGATTTTGACGAAGAAGCTCCTGCAACCGTTAACCAAGAAAACCTTGAAAACTTCTCGTCACAGGGGAGTGTTGATGATGGTCAATTAGTGAAAACGTCTTAGTACAATTGGACGACCTCCACGTGTATCTTACCCAGAACTGTGCGGAAGACAAATAGAGGGTGCTCCCAACAACCATATGTTTAGACTTGTGGATGGAAATCCACTAGCCAGCTTAGAGCCAGATCGTCATCAGGTAATATCCATTTTGTAATTTAGCGTATGGTAGGTAACGAAATGAGGATCCGAATTCCCTTTCCTTTTTTCTCTCTCGGACACAAGTCTCTTGTTCAGCCTACGCAATATCCTCAAAACTTATAAGCTTTGATCCTATATGTACGCTCACTTACGTAAGCAAAAGTGCGAGTGATGGTCACGAACATTGTGAAGTCTGCAGCTGGACAGTAGCGGAAAATATATCGTGTTATTGTAATTGCACACATTACACTATCGTTACCACTGTCCCTTGAACTTCGGTTAGCGCATTAAATTTTGAAAGTAGAGTACCGCGACGAAGTATCATGACTAGTACTGACACAGATGAGATGGATAACATTAAGCCAAGATGGGGTTGATCGCTAGCCAGACCTGATGCATTACGTACAAATTTATTATAGGAGACAGATTTATCCAGCATCTGATCAATTAGATTTAGCTTAAATGAGAAACTGCTTTCGCAAAAAAAGTATGAGTCCCCTCAAATGTTTTTTTAGGTATATCGGCGGAGCGTATCCCATCCCGTGTGCACTGGTTTACGCAGATCAAGCTTCCTCTGTGCAAATTGCACGGCAACCCTGTTGCATTTGATGGCACTTGACTTCGATAGGGTTCAACTAGAGCTGGTTTCTTGCAGCATTTGCTGAAAACCCAATTCACGAGGAGATAGATAACCTCCTGTAAAAAAGTCATGAGCATGTTGAAGATGCGTCTTGTCTTGTCATCGACACAGTCGTGGAAGCTCCCTTCCGGTGTACCGGATTATAGTGTTAAAATGTTTTTTATTGTAGACCGTGAGGTCGCGATATGCGAATCAAAAAGGCTCGATTTGCATACTGAATGAATGTTCAATATATAAAATCTTTCATTTATAGTTTAATGTTCTTTGTACGGATTGTGCTATTAGAAGAGAAAGGAAGAGAAGAGATAAAAGTGGGATCATTGTTTACTCTCAACGGAATGCTATAGAAGCTAAAAAGTGTGATACACACAAATTTACACTTTTAGTGTTGGTATGAGAAAGTCGAGCAAAATTTGCACATGATCTGCAAGCATATATTACCAGAATAAAGGGAACATCACTGTCCGTACAAAACCGCTGCTTACAAATACTAGCGGCAACACGTTTACAGCGATGAAAATCACGTTGGATAGAAATCTCATGACCTTGTCAAAATCTACCTCTTCGTGCACACATATACAATGCTATATGAACGACGACTAGAATTTGATCACGATCAATTGCATAGGAGCTGACATTGAGCTACAATTTCCTAAAGCATGGCAAATTCTTATATATTTATCAAGGGAAGGTAATAACCAATAGCTGATGTCTATTTGTACTCTGAAAGCGTGAACCAAAGTACAGAGAGTTGACTTTATCTATGTGTCGTCTATTGAGCTAAGAAACAGGACCTCTCAAGTATCCAGTACTTTACGCTGGATCAGATTTTTTTGTATTTAAAATTACTGAAGCTAGCAGCTACTTGCTATATGCGTATTTCTATGAAAATATTGATATAGTTTGATTTCGTGATCACTTCGAAGTACAGTCACACTGATCTAGTAAATAGTATTGATTATGGCACTTAAGAGTTGTGCTTTAGGGTACTTTTAGGCTTTGATCAAATATAGTGTAGTATTTACGCTCACTTACGTAAGTAAAAGTGCGAGAGATGGGCAAGACCAACATGGAGTCTACAGCTGGACAGTAGCGGGAAATATGGTGTATGCACACATTACACTATCGTCACCATTGTCCCTTGAGCTTTCGGCAACGCTTAAAGTTATCAAAGTAGAGTACCGTGACGAAGTATCATGACTAGTACTGGCACGGATGCGATAGATGACATTAAGCCAATATGGGGTCCGTAGGACACGCGATCGCTAACCAGACCTGATGCATTACGTACAAATTTATCCTAGGAGACAGAAAGACAGATTTATCCAGCATCTGATTAATTAGGCTTAGCCTAAATGAGAATCAAAATTGCTTTCGCAAAAGAAGTATGAGTTACTTCAAATGATTTTTGGTTAATCGGCGGAGCGTATCCCATCCTCAGTGCACTGGTTTACGCGGATCAAGCTTCTTCTGTGCAAATTGCACGGCAACCCTGTTACATCTGATAGCACTTGACGTCGATAAAGTTCAACTTGACCCGATTTCTAAAACCCCGAACCACGAGGAAATAGATTACCTCCTGTGTCAAAGACATTAGCATGTTGAAGATGCGTCTTGACTTGTCATTGGCACAGATTTGGGAGAGCCCCCGGTGTACCGAATCATAGAGGTAAATTTATTGTAGAATGCTTGATCGCGATAGCCTAAATAAAAAGGTGCATATTGCCTTGTCGACAGATTTGAAACATATCTTCTATTCCTTAGATAATCCAATGTTTGTTGTGCTTAGATGAAAAAGCAGGATTCTTGTTCACTACTAAGTAACCTCGATAGAAATGAAAAGGTGTAATACACGCAAATTTACACTCGTTGTGAAAGTCGAGGACTCCTACGTTTGCAGCTACCCTCCTTCCCCCAAAATTGCGCTTATTACCGAAAGAGTTGGCAGATTTACACGCATAAATTACAGAGGTTTAAGAAAACATCATCGTCGTGCAAAACCGCTGCTTACGTTTTTCTTGCGGCAACACGGTTACCACGATGGACAGTCGCTTAAATCAGAGGACGCAGTGAGGTTCTATGATACCTTGTCTAGAGGAGGCTTTGACTTGTAGAATTCGCGTTATACAGTAAGTAAGATTGCAACAGTTCATTATTCAGCGCGTATGCTCATAACTGTGTTAAAAGGGCTTTAAATTTAGTGTCTTTTTTCAGAAAACAATTGATTGAAGCTAACCAGAATATTCGTTTCTCACATATTCGATTTATTGATTTATCGTACTGGAGCTGAACTTTCTAAGTACCTAAAACTCTGATACCGATTGTACCGATGTCTGGTAGAAACTCGAGGACACCTTATATATATAGTTTTGAGAATTTATTTTATCAGATTTATAAATTCAGCGAATACATAATTCAGACGCTTTTCTGTTAAGCGATTTACTAAACCTGATACCGTCGTGAGGAAGCATAGCGATATCGTTCTCCGCATCTTTTTTTTAATTGCTTTTGTTGCTGGATCCAGACGTGTGCTCCCTTGCGAGTTTAGACTTGACGTTGCTTTTGTTTTCTTCGAATTAGGTATCGTTCGAAGCACGTCGGCAAAGGTTCGCCCCTTCTCACCGTTCTTGACAACGACTTCCCAATTATCTTGAATAACAACCCATGCGTCAGAGTCATTACTAGCGGCAAAACCTCCGCTCCATTCCACTTCCTCAGCCGATTCCAAAGTTTCATCGTTCTCCATTATGAACACCAGCTCCGTATTCTCTTGCATCCAACTCGTGGTAGAGGCGTTTGCAACATCACACGTTATATTCCTAGCATTGCGGCCGCCACATCCTCACGGTCATTTGCAGCCGCTAATACATCTCGGCGCATGTCCACAGCCACCGACGGGAAAAACTCGCCCAGTTGGTGCAGCTTTTGCTTATTTATCATCGTGTCGATAGGAAATACCTGCCAAGTGACGTTAAAGGCCTCCATGTTTTCTAGTTCCTCTGCAATCCAGCTTTTCGCCGCTCGAACATTCGTTCTTTTACGCGAACAGCGCTTCGCCATTGTCAATGTCTTGAAAACTGGGACATGCAAAGTCAAATTGAAAATGACCCAGCTCATTGGAATTCGAAAAAAAAATTCTTGCGGTTCGTGAGTGCAAACTTAGCTTTATAATTCGATACAACGGGTATTAAATGTTGTTTGTACAGTCCAGAAAATGGTACAGTCATATACTTTATTTGATATGATATAGAGTCACGCATGTCACTTATATGTGGATCGGCAAGTTGTTGAAGGTGGAGTGCAAATTCGGGCACTGAGGCCGACAATCTATTACCAAACCAAAAAGGTCTTAACATAACCCGAAAAACACTGATTTCGTATCGAGACTTAGCAATTTCGCATCGCAGTCTTATCAGGTACTGGAGGGTTGGTACTAGTATCAACTATTACATTGAATAAGTAATTAAGGTCAAAGCTGATACTTTTCTGTAGGTAAAGCTTTTCATCAGCTTAAAAGCAGATCAAAGCTTATTGATAATTGAGTGCATCATGGCAACCACTATAGTCAATATCACTATAGAACATTGTGTTGCTCTTACGCGCTTATATGGCTGTACCTTGCCGGATATTCACGTGATAGGTATAGGGACTGAAAAATAAGGCGTAGATTGTTGAGCTCAACAACTTTTTAATTCTTATGAATCATGAGGCACAAACAAATAATGACGTATGTATATCAGGTGTTTGTTTACCTATGAACTATAAATAATAAATAATGGTATGAAGCGATTTCGCAAATTTATTACACTGCTTCGACGCTTCGTTTCTTTCTCGCAGATTATTTAGATCGTTTTTACTTTTTTCACAGGGTTGCGGACACTGTAATCGCTGCTAGACTTTATTCAGCAATGCCGAAAATGCGTTAATAAGCTTGACATCATTCGTCAGTGTATTGTTATTTACGTCGATATTGAGTCTACTGTATTCGTTTCGACATCTGCTGCACGATCACCACGGATTGCGCATCAGAGCCTGCAAAAAGAGTGTCAGACCCTGGATGAATCGCCATGGCATTCCATGGTTGAGTTCCAATGTGGATTCGCTGCACTTGACTCTCTCCCCGTTCCTCGAGATAGCCACCAGATACAGTCGACTTCTGGGTGGATGCGGAACCATTATAATCTGGAAATTCGCGGGAATTGTAACTGTGATTTAAGGCCCATCGGTTTAACACGGCATCATCACCACCCGTGCACAGATATTGAGGAGAAGAATAGTGAAGCTTCAGTGCCCGAATCGCCTTTTGATGATATGTTTCAGAGCTAAACGGCTTGTCAGTTCTCCGACGATCCCAGAAATTCACGGATCCATCATCAGAGCCAGTGATTAGTACTTCAGGTCTTGTGGGGTGCGTTTCGAGTGTGGTAAAAATTTTACTTGGGTAACTGCCGTAAGAAATACAGAGCTTTAGTGACAAATATATAGATTAGGCCAAGGAACGCATCAACGTACTCGCCACAGGTGGTGATGGGACGCTTGTTGCTCGATGAAAAATCATAGACACATAATTGACTTCCAGGCGAGGAGCTATCATATAAAAGAATGTATTAGCACTGAGGCTCTATACACCTGAGGCCAGTACGTACCCAACAGAGGCAACGATAGAATCCCGACCTAAAAACTTCACACCATTGATTGGTAACTTGCTTTTGCCTTGATTTTCTATTTCCATTGATTCAAAAGCTCTGTTAAACCTTTGTCGTATTCTTTGGCAGGTCTTCCTACCAAATAACTGGACAGTTGCAACATCATCCAGCTTGAGCCACGCCAATGCTCCATTGGCGCTAGCAGCCACGAGACTCGTCTGATATTCGCTAACGTCCAGACAAGTAGCGGCAGTACCGGAAAATACACTTTCCCACTGTGGGACTACAAATGCAGCAAGCGGTTTGTTTATGTCCCCATTCGACATGGCCGTGTAGTCTTCAGCATTCGATGACACACGATAAGCAAATATGCCGCCAGCAGACGATGCACTAATCAGTAGGTTCTCCCCTCTCGTCGCGACATATTGCAGCGCGTTTACATCGCCAACATGCACCACTTCTGTCAATGTGTTCAGTTCGCACGGACGCGTATCAACCTCTCCACGACTAGTTACAATAATATAGTATATACCATGTTTGCAATCTTCATCAAGAGCATCTTTACAATCGGACCTACCTAAACTCGCTGCACAGCTCTCGCTCGGACCGTGTGGTGCGTACAGGAAGATGTAAGGAAACATGATTGGTCTGTAAAATGGCATATCGGCTATTTCTAAAAAATTGCGTGATAAGTTTGAACAGCGCCAGATTACCTCAGTGTCCCAGCCACCTGTAGCGATCAACGGAAGGACATCACAATTCTCTTGCAGAGTTTCGGAAGCATTGCTGGCGTCGCGCAAAACGCAGAGAGCTTTTACCTTCTCAGCTACAAAATGCTTCGATACCGTCGCGTTCATATCAAATTTGGCTGTCAAATTCATTCACCACCTTGATATAGTGACATCAGATTAAACTTTGTATTTTGATGTGCTGCCTTTTATCAAGGTACGTGTAACCCCGTTTCATTTTTCGAAGTGAGTATCCCTTATCACAATATTTTTATATGGATGTGTGTCACACGAGATGTGCATGGTGTGACCACACCACAACAAGAAATTCGGTACGGGGCTAGGTAGCCAGTAGTTATGCATGGATTTTACCATATATATTTAGTAAATTTTGGAAAATCTAAACTTTGAAAATTAGGATAAAAAATAAATAAAAATCAATTTTGAATTAAAAAACGGAAGAGTAATTAGCCTTGGATA